AGGATGCGGACGAACCCTCCCGTGGGCACATCGTCGTGATCCAAGGTGTAACCCCACCCTCTAGGGCCCCCATATCGGAAAGACATCCAAATCTAAGGTTATAGAGTCCTAAATAGAGTAAAGTGATAGGGCGTGAAGTTGAAGGCGTAGAGGTCGAATCCTGCCTCAGCCCGTCTCAATCCGCAGGCGGAACCCGGATTTGGACCTGAAAAGTCGAATATTTGGCTCGATATTTTGCGAAAAGCGGAATTTGCAGCGAAAAAACAGTCCCAATAAGCACATTTTCACCGAAAACGTCAAAATATCGAGCCACTTTCGCAAAATCGGGCGATTCCACAAAAGCTTACCCTATCAGATAATGGGTGGCATCGACAATTTGATGGATTACTACCCGTACATAATACAATATTCAAACACTATGTGCCAAAAAAGGTATGAATAAACGCTCTCTAGTTCTGTGTTTTCAGAATCTGCACGATGCTTTTCAGCTGTCTCGAACACTACCCTTCAGATAAAAAATTACAAAAATATGCGCTCTATCTGTGAGGACGTGCAGTGTGACAAGGGCACCTCGAAGTATCAGGTGCGCGTGAAGGGTGCGACTGATTTCGTGGATTGCCCACCCGGAAGCACTCTTGTACTGTCGAAGTACGGTACAGAGTTTAACTCTGGCGCGATCGAGTGTCCGCCATACGAGGAGGTATGCAACATAAACTATCACCGAAGCGTGACCCATCACGTCCCCGCATCCGGTACGACTAACATCGCGTACCACTTCACTTACACGCTTGTGGCGGCCCTGGCTGCTCTGATTGTTCTTGCTGAATGATGTCAGGGAGCAACATGCGTGAAAAGGGTGACTCATCGTTTTTTTCATTCAGTGATATAATTTTACTTCCTTTTAATTTCACAGATCAACCGAATCTTTCTTTCCATACATATATATATATATATATTCATCTACGTATATATATCTCTTTTCTTTATACTTGTGTTTTTTAATATATAGGCGATTATTATAATTATTCGTTATTATTCTTTCTTCTTCGGGCGTACATGAAGTATTTTCATCTTTCGATGTGTAATTTATAAATTGCAAATCACCGGGAGTAGGAAAACCACTGACTGAGTTGCATTAAATTGTGTATGCTATTATCATTATACAATGTTGAACTAAAACCGTGTTACCTAGGGG